AGAGAGAGAGAGAGAGAGAGAGAGGGCTACCCAGTCAGCTGTCCATCCATCCATCCCTCCCCATAGTCAATTTGCCATAGGTCCCTGCGGATCAGGGCACCCTCATTGTCGCTTTGAGCTTGCTGCCCATGATAGAAATCATATTGACCTGGCCTTGGATGCCACATTTGCCATTCTGGAATCCCAACATGACTATTGATATTAGGGATCTCAGTTCCACGGCATCATCTCCTACTCTTCTTCTCAGCCTACTGAAGACAGACACCACTGAGCTACTCAGAGATGCTGCTGTCCCCTTTCTCAGTGAACCCCTTATTGCCTTAGTAAAGAGAGTGTCCTCTGGGCCCTTCTAGAGAACATAGTCAGGTGCTGAGCTCTTAGGTCTTTCATTCCCACCTCCTTGAAATTTCTTTCCTTCTTTTTTTTAAGTTTTATTTGTCTAAGTAATCTCTACATCCAATGTAGGGCTTGAACTCATGCTCAAGAGTAGCATGCTCTTCTGACTGAGCCAGCCAGGCACCCCTCTCCCTGAACTTTCTGACCTCTTCTTAAGCACTCTACCATGGAAGTCCTAGCATCTTGACCTCATTTGTTGTAAGCCATCATCCTGCTTTACGGAACAGCCCTTGCAAAGTATTAAACCATATTTCAATTATTTCTTGCTGAATAACAACCCCCCCCCCAAAAAAAACCTTAAAGACATAGAACAACAGCAATTTATCATTTCTCACAATTCTGCAATCTGGGTTAGGCTTAGTTGGGTGTCCATATGCTTCATGTGGTGTTTGCAGGTGTTTGTGGGAGAAGAAATATCCAAGGTGTCCTTTTCACTTACACAAATAGCACTTCAGCTGGAATGGATGGAACACCCAGGGACTGGTCAGTTATCTCTCTTAATATGGTGTCTCCACATGGCTGGCTTGTACTCCCTCACAGTATGAGGGTCTCAGTGTGGTTGGACTTCTTACATACATGGTGGCTGGCTTCTAAGAGGGAGGAAATGGGAACTGCTGATCTTCTTAAACCTTAGGTCTGGAACGAGAACAGTGTCACTTCTACCATATTCTCTCTCTCTCGCTCTCTCTCTCTCTCTCTCTCTCTCTTTGAAAAGCACTTGTTAGTATTTAATGAACCTCCCTCTGTTGTGGCTTTAAGTTCCCAGGACACAGGTGCCCTCCACACCTTTAATCTTCTCCTTGGCTCTTCTACTGAAGAATTTGGCCTTCACGAAGACGGGCTGTTCGGGGAGCTTGTCCTTTCCCAAAACTCTGTAGTAGCCCGATCGCACCACATCAATGCGAGGACCAGCTCCTGTCTTGTTTTTGGCAGACATGGGTATGTCTGCTCAAGGACCAAGGTCCACAGTTTATCAAGGTTGACAGTTGGGCGAAGCTCTGGTTCCTCTCTAAGTCGTGATGCCTCCTACCAACTTTTCCAAAGTAGCCTAGGTGATATTTGTCAAGGTTGATCCTGTCATGATGCATGCCACCAGCATGACCCTGGCCTCCTGGGTGTTTCTGGTGCTTGCCGATGTGGCCATGGCCATGGCTCACGTGGCCCCGAAGTTTCCGGGTCTTCCTCAGTCTGGATGGCATATTGGCAGCCCAGACGAAAGAGCTGCCATATTCTGTTAGTTAAGGCAAGTTACAAGGCCAATCCAAGTTTGAGAAGAGGAAAACAGACTCCATCTCTTGATGTGAGGAGTGGTGTGTATATAGAGGAAGGGAAGGAATTGATGGTGACCATCTTTGGAAACTATCTACCAGAGACCAAGTCTAGCTATCCTTGCAAGATTATTGAAGGCTGAGGGGCACCTGGTTGGCTCAGTTGGTGGAACATGTAACTCTTGAACTCACCCTTACGGGTTTAAGCCCCACATTGGTTGTAGAGATTACTTCAAAATAAAATCTTTAAAAAATATATTGAAGCCTGAGTTATGGGTCAGTGGTCCATGATGATGTGTTCCTTATTAGCCAGTCTTCTATTCTGCCATGCTGCCCCTCACTGCCATGTCCAAAACCCCCAAGATCTCTCCTACATGTATTAGCTAGGTCTTTCGATTCCTCTGATGTGTAGCTTATTTTTCCCAGGTCTGGACTTCAGTTTTCCTACTCAGGATTTGCCAGGAACTGACCCTAGTTATTTTTTTTTTCAACGTTTATTTATTTTTGGGACAGAGAGAGACAGAGCATGAATGGGCGAGGGGCAGAGAGAGAGGGAGACACAGAATCGGAAACAGGCTCCAGGCTCTGAGCCATCAGCCCAGAGCCCGACGCGGGGCTCGAACTCACAGACCGTGAGATCGTGACCTGGTTGAAGTCGGACGCTTAACCGACTGCGCCACCCAGGCGCCCCGACCCTAGTTATTTGAGGAGGTAATGGGAGCAGGTTTTGAGGAGAATAAATGTCATCTTATGAGGTGCCTGCTTCATGTGAAATTATTGCATAGTCTCAAGGAAAGGCGAAATTGTTCTTCCTTGGCAAGAGGGCAGGGGTGGCTCTCCCACCCAGGAAAACTCAGGAGAATTTACGAGATAAAGGCTCTTAGATTCGTCTACCCTAATGTCCCTATCCCGGGTCTCAGGGTCCTACTCTTTCCTTGTCAGGACCTTGACTCTGACATAGGAGGTGGGCTAAAGTTGCACAGTTAGACTTCTTTGCAACCATGCCACTTATCACCTGTCTGATCCTGGATGTAGTTTTCTACCTACTCTTTCCTGCACCACAAGAGAAAGCTTTCATAACTGTGATGCCCACTGAAAGCCAAGGTTAGTACCACTGCACGTGCTACCAGCAATGAGATCCCTACTGCCTTCACATAAGTGAGAAGAACCACCACAGACTCACACTCTGAAGGCCTTTTTTCTAGGACCTCTTCTGGTACTAAATGTCAGCCTATGTTCCCTAGAAAATGAATTGAAGCCTGAATTGAAGGTTGTATGCTAATGCTTTCTTGGGAGTTGCAATCCCCAAAGCCAGGGGAAAGGAGAAGTGAAACGGAGAAGGGAGGAAAGAAATACAAGCTAGCGCATCACTTCGCTGGCCAGGGTCCCACAAAAATCAAAGCCAGTTGTTCAGTCACGTGGGATCTCTTCAAAGAGGCCACACAGAGCCACCATGTCTTAGAATAGTCCATAAGAAGGAAGGATAGGGAGGAATTCACCTCTCAGCAATTTTTCATTTTTCATTGTCTAGTCTCATGGTCATGAACAGGGTCCTAACAGTCTGAGCTTTGGAATCGTGTGAACTCATTCCACTGGGCTGTTTCTGGGCAAGCCAGAGCTTTTATGGGTCCAGATGGGTCAGACGTGAATGCCAAAGCTTCTCTGATTCCACTATAGCAGGCTTACTTGAGTTCATGCCAAAGGCTAGCATTTTCCTCCTGATGATGCTGAGGCATCCGGTAACGCCTGGAGATGATGCAAGGATATTGACCGCTGGGAGACATCTAAACTGAGTGTGGGACAGTTAGAATAAAGACTAGCATTTACTTAGAATGAGATGGGAAGGATTTGAACAGAGTGACATGTCTGACAAATTTTAACAGGTTGACTCTGGCTGCCCAGGAGGGCACGGACAGAGTCAACTGCAAAAAGTCCAGGTATATTGACCAGGGTTGTATCAGAGAAGCAGAACCATTAGGAGCGATATAAAATTGAGGTTTTATTATAGGTATTCAACCTTACACAATTATGAGGGTTGGTTAAGCGGTTTCCACACAGTTGTTACTTGTGTATCCGGTGTTGAGCTAGAAATCAATAAGGCGGTTCTGAAAGATGGACACGAAGTCGTGGATGTCAAGGTCAAACTGGACCCCTGAAGATGAACTGGAACCCACGAGGACAAGCTAGGCCTCCTGTTGGTCTCTCCTCACCTTCAAGCCTCCATTTTGATGACCAGTGATAGAAGCTGATGCCCTTCATAGACACAGACAGTTAACCCTGGAGCTGGAGAAGCGGAAGGTAGAGAACCAGGGGTTGCTAGAGGACATGTGGGCCTGGCTGCTGCCTTACACTGACCAGGGGAGCCAGCAGATCGGAGAAAATGTGCATGAGCTACAGCAGCATCTGACCCTGTACCAGCCTTCCAAGAGTAAGCTTGGCCGCAGCCTCACTTCTGCCTCCAAATCCTGCCTAAATCTCTCTCTCGGGGGCAAATTCTCACCCAAAACTACACAAGAAAGGAAATTCTGGGAAACACAGTTCCAGCTCAGCCAAGCTGACAAAAACAAATTCCACCACACCAGGCAAGCGATTAGGATGGCTTGAACCCTAGAGTATTGGGAACAGGGGTGTGAGAAGTGCTTGAATTCTGGAGGTCTCGTGGATATCCTCACTATTCTGAATCCATTTGCTTTCTGAGCTGGGGTGGTGAGTTCCGAGGGAAAATTAGCATGTGTTGAGTGAAAAGGAAATGTCCACCATTCACATCTACAGAGCCTGGGACAAAGGTGTAAATGCACCTGTTACATGTCTAAATATTAAAAAACTCCAAATGAAGACACAACCTATCATTTGAAATATGTTCCATCTTTATATCTTAATAGACCTTCATAATGACAAAATAAGAAATATGTGTAGACCTATAATTTTTATATGAGCGAAAATCTATCCAAATAAACGCCTTTCATTATCATACCACCTATCTGGGTGTTCTCGTGATGGACTGGAAATATTTGGACAAGGAATAAAGAAAACATATACATAATTAATAAATTATTTTATATTTATTCCATATAAAAGAGAGAAAGGGCTGGCCTGTAGCCCACAGCTAGACCATGCTATTGAACATGAATGATCTCACAGAATACCAATCTCAGATGTTACTCTGAGACCATGATAAGATGAGACAAAACAAGGCTACTTTATATTTTATCTTAACACAGACGACAACAAAGTCACTGTGCCTCCCACAAAATATCAACCTACACTTTTTCCCTTCACTAAAATGAGGGACTGCTACATCTTTTTCTAAAAGCTTTTTGAATGCTTATTTATTTATTTTGAGAGAGAGAGAAAACATGAGCAGGGGAAGGGCAGAGAGAGGGAGAGAGAGAATCCTAAGCAGGCTCCGTGCTGTCAGCGCAGAGCCCGAGGCAGGGCTCCAACTCATGACAAATCATGAGATCATAACCTGAGTCGAAATCAAGAGTCGGGGATGCTTCACTTGATCTTAGACAAAAGGCTAGGAAGCGATAAGAGAGTTGGGGATGTTTAACCGACCGAGCCACCCAGGCGCCCCGAGTGCTGCTACTTCTTAATGGTTAGTTTTACCCTCGTGCTAGTCTCCTATCCCTATGGATAAGATTTATGCATTGAGATTCCCAGTCATAGAATTGCCCTTGCTTTTTAACATCCAGAACGTGACCACCTTGCTAGACTTTCCCCCAAGTCATTCACCACCAGGCCTGATCCTATAAAAGGCTATCTGTAGGGGCGCCTGGGTGGCTCAGTCGGTTAAGCATCTGACTCTTGATTTCGGCTCAGGTCAGGATCTCCCCGTATGTGAGATCAAGCCCCACATCGGGCTTTGCGCTGAGTGCGGAGCCTGCTTGGGATTCTCTTCCTCTCTCTCTGCCCCTCCCCTGCAATACCCTGTGAGATATCCCATGATTCCCAGTGGTGTCACTTCTCACTGCAATGAGTAATAAATCCAATTTGTTTATCTATAGGTGTGTTTCTACTGGTCTTTGGCTGAAGAGCATTAACATACTTAGAATATATTTTTCTTGATTTCTTTCATCAAAATTACTAATCTTTTTAAAATTTTAAATATATATTTTTTAAACATTTATTTATTTTTGAGAGGCTGAGAGAGGCAGAGCACAAGCGGGGGAGGGGCAGAGAGAGAGGGAGACACAGAATCCAAAGCAGGCTCCAGGCTCTGAGCTGTCAGCACAGAGCCTGACGCGGGGCTCGAACCCACGAACCGTGAGATCGTGACCTGAGCTGAAGTCGACGTTTTGACTGACTGAGCCACCCAGGCGCCCCTAATCTTTCTTTTTTAAGTTTTTATTTAAATTCTAGTTAGTTAACGTACAGTGTAGGTGCACCTTTTGTGCTCAAGCTCAGTTCCTGGAAATCCCCTTGTGGCTTCTGAGCCAGCGTTGCAGCCAGGCCTTTCCTGTTCTGTTGGCCCTTAGAGGCTGCTCTGAAGGTGTGGCTGCTAACCCTCCAGGTGGCTCGTAGGGTATGGCCGGGATCTGCTCTATCCCTCCTCGCTTATGCCTAACTAACTGCCTAACATTAGTTTCAGGTGTACAATATAGCAATTCAACACTTGCATACATATAATACCGGGTGCTCATCACAAGTGTATTCCAATATTTCTTAATCATCATTTTCACATAATTTGTGTTCTTTTTGTTTAAAAAAATGTTTATTTGTTTATTGGGGGGGCAGAGAGGGAGGAGAGAATCCCAAGCAGGATCCTCGTCGTCCCTGATCTCATGAATCGCTGAGATCATGACCTGAGCCGAAATCGAGTCGGATACTTAACCGACTGTCACCCAGGCACCCCTAATTTGTGTTCCCTTCACAGCATTGGCAAGCGATAGCCTATAGGCCAAATCAGCCCTGCTGCTCGTTTTTGTAAACAAAGTTTTATTGGAACACAGACACATTCATTCATTTGTATATTGTCAATGGCTGCTTTCATGCCACCATGGCAGAGTAGTGACAGAGACCATAATGGCCCACAGTGTCTAAAATATTTAAAGTCTATCCCTCTACAGGTAAGTTTGCCAACCTCTGGTCTAAAAACATCAAAATTAAAATGTAATTATTTTCCCAGTCATTGGAGCCTGGGGCTCTTGATCTTAGGGTTGTGAGTTTGAGCCCCACATTGGATGTAGAGATCACTTAAAAAGATAACCTTTAAAATAAATAAATTAATTAATTTCCAAATATAATTATTTTCAAGACACAAAATTTGAATATATTTTTGTCAAAAAATAAGTAAAAATAAATACAAAAATTAAAAATAAAATCTCATATATATTTCAAAATTCAAAAATTACTCCAAAATGTTTACTTATTTTTAAAAATTTACTTATTTATTTTGAGAGAGAGAGAGCAAGCACAAGTGGGGGAGGGGCAGAGAAGAGGAGAGACAGAATCCCAAGCAGGCTCCAAGCCATCAGCACACATCCCAATATGGGGCTTGAACCCATGAGCCATGAGATCACGACCTGAGCCGAGATCAAGAGTCGATCGCTTAATTGGCTGCGTCACCCAGGCGGCCACTCCAAAATATTTCAATCATCCATTAAAAAATAAAAAAGCCGGGGGCGGGGGGCGCCTGGGTGGCTCAGTCGGTTAAGCGTCTGACTTCGGTTCAGGTCATGTTCTCACAGTTTGTGAGTTCGAGCCCCACGTCGGACTCCGCGCTGACAGCTCAGAGCCTGGAGCCTGCTTTGGATTCTGTCTCCTTCTGTCTCTGACCCTCCCCACTGTGCTCTCTCTGTCTCTCAAAAATAAATAAATGAAAAAATAAATAAAAACCCAAAACAAAACAAAAAGCCGGATGCCTGGATGGCGCAGTCAGTTGAGCATCTGACTAGGTCATGATCCCAGGGTCATGGGATTGAGCCCCCTGTCAGACTCAGTGCTGAGCGTGAGCCTGCTTAAGATTCTCTCCCTCTCTCTCCCCAACCCCCCCCCCCGCTCTCCTTGCTCACGCTCTAAAATAAAAACAATAATACAAAGAATAAAAATTTAAAAAGCAAGCTATACACATTAGTATAACATTTAAAATGAAAATTTAAAGCTGATATATTGTTTTTGAAATTTTTATCGGGTCTTACTAATTTTTTAAATTAGTGTTCTATACGGGGCGCCTGGGTGGCGCAGTCGGTTAAGCGTCCGACTTCAGCCAGGTCACGATCTCGCGCTCCGTGAGTTCGAGTCCCGCGTCGGGCTCTGGGCTGATGGCTCAGAGCCTGGAGCCTGTTTCCGATTCTGTGTCTCCCTCTCTCTCTGCCCCTCCCCCGTTCATGCTCTGTCTCTCTCTGTCCCAAAAATAAAATAAAAACGTTGAAAAAAAAATTTAAATTAGTGTTCGATATCCATCTAAACGCCAGTAGAAAAAAATTGGTACTGTGCTTCACACATGCTACATCTAGATCTACCCATACCCAGGTGAGTAATAAGATTTGTTCAGTTGGAAAACATCCCTCAGCTGCCATGTGTAACTGTTGTGACTGCCAAGGTAATTTACGAGCATCTCCAGTTTTGAATTGAAACTGGAAGAGAAACAAGAAAATGGACACTAGGCACTCCTGGAAAATGATATTTTGTTGTGCCATAATTTATTACATTCATGCTATCAGAGAGAAAACTTTTGGCACAGCAATTAATTTGTCGTTCTCTTACCTAAGCTCTATCCTTCAGTCTCCTGCAGACGCTGAAGCTGTGTTTGTCTCTGATGTTGGCAGTGACACAACCTGTAAACCTTTACAGCAATCGACGCAACTCGCTTTTGTTTTGGAAACATAGGACACAAGATTTTAGGGGCATTCTCTGGGGCCTGACTTGTGCTAATACTAGATGTTTATGATTTGGGTTGTGCTGTGCCAGTACTGAGATTCAGATCCTGAGCAGCAGAAGCACTCATATGTTCTTTATCTGACGTGTGTTTGTGATACGCAGCGTTCTCTAAAACACAGGGCTTAGATCTAAGGACGGTAGGAGTAGTAAGGTCTCAGATGTTGAAGGATATTTCACAAATTTTATTTGTGTCTCTTTGGTTTCTGAGTTTAGATCACAGGAGTTCAACTAGCGAGGGATATGTGGTATTTCAATAATAGAACCGATCAATAGCATTTACTGACAGATCCGATGTGAGGTAAGAAAGGGAGGAGTCAAGCATGACACCAAGATCTTTGACCCAAACAACTGGAAAAATGGAACTGTCGTTAACTGAAAGCGAAAGTCCTGCAGAAGCATGTGGACATTTTTTTTTGGACATCCTAAGTCTGAGATGCTTATTAGACATCCAAACAGAGATGTCAAGTTCAGGGGAGAAGCCAGACTAGAGACAAACTTCAAAGTCATCAGTGTTAGAGAAGCCAAGAGCTACCTGAGATCTCATAG